CTTTAATGACTGTTCATCCAAGTCCAGTCCTGACAGTTTATTTGTGAAGACAAACACAGGTTAACTAACCAGGTTAGTTAGTTATTATTAGGGAAAGTTGGTCTGACTTTTTGGGACTTTTCCGTTTTTATGAAAGAATTTCTCATAAAGTTCAGAAACGCAGATGGAGCTGCAGTGTCCCCGTGTCTCCTGTGAGCGCAGCAGTGAGTAATGCGTCGTTGGAGGTAGGCTGAGCTGTAATCAGATACAACTGCTGCTCCTGTGACTCATGGGGGGGGGGGGGGGGGGGGGGTTTCCGATTTCTTACCCCCGCGAGGGGACCCCATGCAGAGGTTGTGTGTGTGTGTGTGTGTGTGTGTGTGTGTGTTCCTAGGTTAGAATAGAACCCAGACATGAATGTTACAAAATACTTTTATTGTTCTCCTGCTCACCATGTTTATTTATTTATTTGCGTGTGTGTGTGTGTGTGTGTGTGTGTGTTTACAGTACAGTGTCAGTATAAATTCCCTACTTTTTAATCATTTCAGCCTGTTTCCTTTTCCTCTCCCTTCTCTCTCTCTCTGACTCCCCCCTTCTCTCACCCACAGATTTACACACACTGGAAAAGTCTTGGGGGGGGAATGCATTTGAGCAACTTCATCAATATTTGATGGAAGAACTCAAATTACATCACAACTTCAGGAATTACACAACTTCCTAATCCGAAGCTGTGAGACGTTGGATTTGGTTCTTGATGTTCTGGACTTTTCTGTCTCAACAGTCAAAAATATAAATATTGAACCAGGGTCGATGTTTCTCCCTGATTACGCAATTTACTGATGAGAAACTGTCTTTTTAGTCCTTTTGACGGTCCCTGACAGGAAACTGTTGACGGTCCCTGACTCAGAGGGAACGCTGGATTATTCATATCAGTTTCAAAAGTTAAATCAAATCAATTCACGTGAGAAAATGATGATGTCATCAGTGATGATGTCACAGCTGGGTACACAACGATTCCTGTCGTAGACTCTTCCGTCTTTTAATGTCTAAAATCACTCTGACTGGAACCAGAACCTGTTTATCCAGGTCATAAATCGGAGCCCAGTGGTTCCCTGCTGTTTCCGACTTCACGTTCGTTTATTTTTTTTAAATATTTTGTTCCTTTAACAAAACTGTGATGAAGAACGTAGTCGTCACCTGACGGGGAATTATGGAGGAACAACATTCCTTTTTCTTCCGTGGTCATCGGTCACACTCTACAGCCTGGGGTCAGTGTGTTGCCCTTCAGTCTAGAGGTCAAAGACCCCCCCCCCCAGACTGTGTAGTAGCAGCAGGTGGAGTGGACGTCCCAGCGTCTCCTGCTGTCCTGGTGGGACTGGAACCATGTGAATCTGGATGTGAGACCTGGTCTGTGTCCCGGGGTCACTGACACATGTGTGTCTGACTGTTGGAGCGTGGACCAACCAGAGTTTAAGCGTCACATGTCCACGGCCGTCCTCTCTGGACGCGGTCACGTGCTCTGAATTCCTTGGACCAGTTTCTCTGTGGAGGAACAAAAACACGAACGGTCCCAGAGATATGACCCCCCCATATTCTTTCTTCTGATTTAACAGCCCCCCCCGCCCCCCGGTCCACCTGAGACTCGGCCCAGAAATGTGATCTGACATGAGGGACACATGTCCATAAAAGAGGTCGTAAACCTCTCCTGAAACATCTGTCTGCGTGTCATTGGTGCTGAGCTCAGCAGGTTTGTTCTGACCCTTCACTTCACTGACCAATAACAATTCAGGCTGCCCAGAAAATCAAACCGATTCCTGTGAGTTCATGAGGGCTGGAGATTTACAGTTGTTTTCCTTTGAATAAGAAAATGGGTTCAAATGGTTTCATTCTGTTTTCATAGTTTGAGTGGACGGATGGACGGATGGATGGATGGATGGATGGGTGATGGATGGATGGATGGATGGACGGATGGACAGATGGATGGATGGGGAGATGGATGGATGGATGGACGGATGGATAGATGGATGGACGGATGGATGGATGGAGGGATGGATGGACAGATGATGGATGGATGGACGGACGGATGGACGGACGGACAGATGGATGGATGGATGAATGGATGGATGGATGGACGGACGGATGGACGGACAGATGGATGGACGGATGGACGGATGGATGGATGAATGGATGGATGGATGGACGGACGGATGGATGGACGGACAGATGGATGGACGGATGGATGGATGGATGGATGGAGTTCAGTTTCTTCTTCTGTCTGTTTTTTTTATTGACTGTACATACTGTATATTACCCTGTACTCAGACTGTGTACTTCAGTTGTTTTTTTTATTGACTGTACATATATTACCCTGTACTCAGACTGTGTACTCAGACTGTGTACTCAGACTGTGTACTCAGACTGTGTACTCTCAAGAATATTTGGACATATTGATCCACTAAGAAAAGAACGGTCTTAAAGATGTCCAACAGCGCCACCCACAGACCCTGGAAGGTAGTAACTGCCTCCAGAGTTTAATTTTTTCCTGACTCCTGTCTCCGTACTTGAATGTGACATTTGGAAAATTAAAGAAACCAAAGTGTGACCTAACAGCAGGCCGTGGATGACCTCATCTGCCTCTTCAACCTCATGAACAACGAGGTCCAGTCTGATCCCAGATCAGTCGGATCAACGTCACCTTTGTGTCCCGGCAGACTGAAGGTCATCACCAGGATTTGAACCGCACACCGTGGGCTGCAGCGGTATGAAGGTCAGACACACATGGAAATGTACGTGTGGGAAGACGAACGCAGCGGAGATCAAACACACACACACACACACACACACACACGTGGGTGTGTCTGCACATGTTTGTGTACATTTTTGTGCATGTCTGAGCTGAAGAGTCCATAAATCCTGGTCACTTTTTAACATTCCTCCAAACAGACCTGTGAACGCCACGCGCTCGTCTTTACCGTCGTCTCCAGCTCTCGCTTTCTGTCCGTAAAGATCCGTCTCCGTCCACGGTCGTTGGTTTCGTCTGTCCGAGGTGAAAGGTGTGCGACTGCGTAACGTTCTACGGTGTCGTCAGTGTTGATCGGTCATTTACAGACCTGTGTGTTTGTCTCCTGCTGTTTTACTGG